CTCAGAAACGTAATGTCCCATCAAGCTGCACTTCTTATCTTCCTGAAATAAAATATCGTTTAATAACATTTTCTCCCGTGAACTGACATGGACGATACTGTGAGAGTGCAGCGATCTGAAACCTTTTCACCTAAGAAGAAATGAAGTCAGAGCAAAATATTTTTCATGCCATTTTTTTAGATATTTTATGAACCGCTTGTCCATCACAAATTAGTTCACCGGCCCGTTCTCTGCAAAATGTTCATTTTTTGTGCCATTATGAATATTAAAATATCCAAGTGAGGACGCAAGGCAGAATTTCTGAGGGTTTTTTAGGTCTCGCTGGAGTATAAGAGGGAAATTATCAAATTTCCATTACGGGAGCGGGTCTCATATTTTGTGGGATAAGAGCAAAGCTTTCGAGACGGGGACAATTTTTTTGAATAGAAGCGAACCACATTCATGCAAGAGCGTTGAGCTGAAAAGGAAAGTTTGAGGTTAATGTTTCATGCAAGAGCGTTGAACTGCAAAGGAAAGTTTGAGGTTAATGTTTCATGCAAGAGCGTTGAGCTGTAAATGAAAGTTTGATGTTAATGTTTCATGCAAGAACGTCGAGCTGAAAAGGAACGATTGAGGTTAATGTTTCATGCAAGAGCGTAGATCTGAAAGGAAAGTTTGAGGTTAATGCTTCATGCAAGCGCGTTGAACCGAAAAGAAAAGTTTTAGGTTAATGTTTCATGCTAGAGCGGGTTTGATTTTTGAAACCTGAAAAGTTTGATTTTTCAGGTTTCATTCAAGGACATCACATTAAACGAAAAATCAAAGTTATGTTTTCATTAGAGTTTTTTGAGCCGAATAGGTGAGCGAGTAGTTAATAGTTAATGTAATATGATGATTATTCTTTAAAAAATTAAAAACGAAAATGTTTCAGTGAAATTTTAACAGGCACACCCGTTGTAGCGCAAAATTAAATTGCGAATTTATTCCTTCTTATCAAAACTCGTTCTTTTTGTTCAAAATGTTGTAAAAAAAATTGCGTTAAAACAAGTCTGTGAGTCTTGTTTGCCTTCCAACCAATATCAGACGCAGACAGTGAAACAAATTCGGTATTCGTCCCATGGAAAAATTCATCAAACATAAAACAGTTGAAATTCATTGCGTTAAATGAGACTAATTATGGCAAGTCAACTGTGTCTTCAATTTGCATCAAGGAACAATTAAATATTAGTTATCTGCATGTTTTACAATTTCAAAATTGTAAAGATTCGTTCTCATTCCAAAGAATTTGTTATTAAACCGGATTTTTATCTGCGATTCACTTAATGCTGACTCAAAGAACCAGAACCAAACAATTAATTGTTATCCATTTGCTCTCTCCCAAAATTTCAAATTCAAAATATTTTTCCCGCACCAAACATAATAGTAAACAAATTTTGATTGTAATCTGTTGATCTCGCCGAATAGAATATTCATGGTGGCTACGGACGCTGTGTACCAGCGACGTGTTATTGCCGAGGCTGTTTTCGTCACCATTAAAGGCAGAGGCAAACCAAACGATTCAATGGCTTCGTGCGCTAAACAAACAAAGCAATCAAGGATTAGTTAATTTGTAGAGTTATTCTATATTATTTGAAAAATATTAATTTTAAATCTAGATAAACTTTATCCTGTAAAAAATATCGATTACTTTCATTCTTTCAAGCAATAAAGTTAGTTTTTCTTAAATACAATCTTCCGTTTTAGGTATTTTTGACTCGTGAATTTTTTGTAAAATCAAAAGTTTAGTTTATATTGAAAGTTTATGAAACTTGGAGAACAAGTTCCGCGGTGTAATTTGGGTTTTAGCAATACACTGGGAAACTGAATCAAACCCAACTTGATTGTTACAAACCTAATGGCCTCAAATTGCAGTAACTTTTGCTTTTCCAACCTTATTACTGCTATAAGTTTCCAATTAAAATCGGATGCCGATTAAACTAGTTTTTGTTATTAGAGATCATTGCGCCCTAGACTTTAACTTTAATGTTGTAGTAGTTGTTGCAGAAAAACTGACCTTTTACATTAAAATTTTTTGATAGTATATATTAGTCCAAATGTAAATAGATCTTTATATTAAAATTCAAAGGAATTGAATTTCTTGGCAACCTATATGAAAGTTCTTGGGAATTTTCAATGAAATTAACTCCCAATGATTTTCTTTCGTATGTGAGAGATCATTTGCAAAAAAATATACTCCGTCAAAACACGCATCTGCGTAAATTGTCTATTTGTTTAAAATTTCAAAATTAATTTTGTGTATTACTGAATAAATTGAACAAAGCTGGTTCTTCAGAAATGAAAAATTTTATCGTGCTTAATTTTATTCTAACAATTCCGTAAAATGCAACATGTCAACAATTGTGCTTTGAGAGAGATTAAAATTTATTTCTTTATTAAATAATTCACTAGTTCAGCGTTATCCCTAATTTATAGGAGCTTTTGAATAGGAAGAGAAGCTGTAACAAACGCAAAGAAAAGGAAACCATATATTCGCGGCTAACTTATTTAAAAACAAGAACTTGTGCACACGAACAAAAAATAAACTAGTAATAGATAACGCATCTAGTTATAGAGAACGCACCCAGCTATTGATAACATAATAAGATCTGCTCTAGATGCCATCAACGATATTGAAGCCATTTGCCGCACCTTGCATAGAGACTTGACCAATTTTCTTCCATATAATTGAGACTTTTTTTGTAATTTCGATTTATTAAGTCGATATAAAAATCAGGGTGTTATAAAAAAACTGTAAATTATTGCATATTGCACGAAAATCCGCTATGTTTTCTAGTATCCATCATTAGGATACTTAATGTGTTTCTCATGATCTTAAGAAATGATCAATAGACAACTTTATTATTATTTATAATAAGTTATTCTATTGTCTTTATTGTTACGGCCACTTTCCATCGAACGAGCCATGCTTGTCAATCAACGTGAGCCTGGTAGCAAACACCAAGATAATCCACTCATAATACAAAATTTCAAATAAACACAGAGCAAGCGAGAATATTGTGTTATACAGTTATATAGGCAATGATTATATATGATCTGAATCACATAAGCGGTTCAGACAATGCTAAACAATTGTATGAAAATACTCTGTGGAACCGCCCAGCTGCATAAGAAAGGCCTCGTTGAATATACCAATCTTTTATCTTTCCCCGCAATGGTTCTCAGTAGTTCTATTTTGGCAGCTCAAGCTTAATTTTAATATCACCATCATGATATCTAAACCAATTTATGACTAAGTAATCAATTAATCTTTGGTATATACGTCGTCGAAGAATAAAAAGTGATTCGCCACCCGGATTTTGTATTTCGTCCCAACTTTTATTAAAGTTTCTCCACTCAATCAAATTATCCTTGATGTATATTGATAGTATTTTCAGCACAATAAATCACTTCATGATCATATGGAAAACGCGACGTATTTTCACATTTAAGTTTTCATAAGCAATAGAGTTTCACGTCCCAAGTTTTCCAGTTCGTCGACCGAGTTTACCAAGTCTTGCAGTATGTGCAAGCAAATAACGCTAAAACAACGTTGATTATGTGTTGATTTCGTTGAGAAAAAACGTTTAATCAACGTTATTTCAACGTCAGATGCCTGGTGGGGTGCTTAACAGGTGAAGTCAGGGTGGCACTTGAGGAGCCTGTTACAGCCACAGCATCTGCCACAAGCGTTGCAGAACATTCCCACGCCGCACAGGCCGTACTCGTTGTACCGACCTCCGCACTGCTCGCCTGGACCCTGCACAAAATAAAACGTCCTCGAAATACGAATGAACTAAACTTAAATGAACAATTACCTTGCCACACACGTCTCTTGCCACACACGGGCCTTGCCACACACGGGCCTTGCCACACACGGGCCTTGCCACACACGGGCCTTGCCACACACGGGCCTTGTGCAGGCAGGCTTCGTCTGACACCTCGCCCACAATTTCCTGGCAATTTGGAGCTGCCGTTGTTGGCCTGGAATTAAGTTCATCATTAAATTTAAAAATTTACGAATGATTTGTTCGTTAAATCTCACATGCATGATATTCAGGATCTATAATCCTAAACTATCATCAAGATTTGCTGGTGGATAAAGGCACAGAGAAATCTGAACCTGAACTATCATCATGATGGCGGACAAAGGCACAGAGAAATCTAAACCTGAACTATCATCAAGATTTGATGGCGAATAAAGGTACAAAGATATTTCAACCTAAATAATTTTCAAAATTTGCCAACTCACTGCAAGAACAACAGCGTCAGAGAAGCAAGAATCAAGGCGCAGACGATGAAGTTCGTTGCAGACGCGCATGACGAGCTGAAAGCGTAGGCCATTTTTGAAGAGTTGAGGTCGGCGGGAAGGAGGGAAGTCAATGAGCGAGCGAGTCCGTTAAGCTCTGCACATTTAAAATATAAAATAATTCAATTTTATAATAATAAAATCTAAAATAATAATTCAGCATTTGTCAATGCTGAAAATAGTTTAACTCTTAGGTCTACATTATTACTTATTAAGTAATATCTATTACTAAGTAATGTATTACTTAGTTTTTACATTATATTACTTTTATGGATTCCGATAAATATAATTGAACGGTTTTTACTAAATTTATGAATATTTATTTTTCTATAGTGCGAATCGGACAATGTCGAAGATGTTGGACGATATATATATATACCTTCTTATATTTATTTTGGCTTTAATTTCAGTTGACCATCTACTGAATTCTTCAAATTTGTTATACTACGTTTTATTCGTATTGCAAAAAGATATTTATCTGACACTACGGTCAATGATCAATTGTACTTCAAGCTAATGCCGCAAAAATGTTCTTCAGTAAACTGTACATCTGAACTAAATGGGATCTATGATATATGATTTTTTTCGTACTTTTTTCGAGAATAGACTTTATGGCACCAGATTTTTTCATATCTAGCGTAAAAATGTTATGTGAGAGGGGCAATGACAAACTTAGTATGCAGATAAATTATACTTTCTTCGCAACAACAGAGTCGATTAACGGTACAATAAGTGATAACAAAACAATATCAACAGAAAAATGTGTGCGGCACTACAATGTTTCAGTATTATCGATTCTAATCAAAAGCAGCTCCTAAATATAAAGTAAATAATAATAAATTCAGCGCAATCAAGGCTTCTGAGCAAACTTTTTACCTGAATGCTGAAAATTTTTCAAAGCAAATATAAATAAAGTGATATTCAACATTCCTTAAGTCATATTGCGTCTTTGAATTAATATATTAATTTGTAGACCTAATTTTAAATTAAGGCTGAATGAGATTTTGTTTTTTGTTTACAAAAGCCTAATACGAAAGTTTCAGCTTAACTTACAACATTAATTTCGCGTGTTTTGGGAAGAAATGAAATTAAGCAAATCAATCTCCATGTTAGGTCAGTTTCTCAGCCACTGATGCTGCAGTTTAGTGCCTCGTTTATCGTTTTAATTACGACACTTACTTACGAGGTTAGCATATTTGTCGTCAATAAATATGATTACTTCTAAAATACACTCTGCAGTTTACGAGTATATATTAAAGAGCTAAATAAACCGTTTACAGGCTTATGAATTTTATATATTACGATACACAAAAATTCTAGTTGACACTGATAGGTGGCAAATAATTCCGTTCTACGTTGATAAATTAGTTCATGCATAATGCTTCTATCCTGAACATTTAAGAGAATTTTGCATAAGAGACAGAGATAAAATATAATAAAATATATCAATCAATAGCAATTGGCCTGCTTGAAATAATATTTGTACGTTCTTAATGATTTTCATCCTACAGAACGATACTCAATGACATGCAACACATGGTTCAGAATTTTACACAGTTAAAATCAATTCTATGCCTAATATTGGTACCTCAATGACATGATTTTTCTCGATAATTGTAATAAAGGGAATCATTTTCGTTGCATCTCGTCAAATGACCGTAAAAATGTGATTCTAGTTTCCTGAAATGTTAAGCAACGAGCATGAACGTGTTTTCAGAACTAGCATTTAATATTAGTATCACATGATCCTTAATCGACTTCATGAACTAAAAGAGCTACCGCCCAATTGCAGGTTCAATGATCTGACCTGCAGTACTAAACATTGGCTGAAAAACATGTTACATAATTTTTGCACGTTTCCCGGTCACAGGCGTAGGCTTTTAACCACCAATTTATAAAATAAAACTAACTAATAATCAAGCACTTCAGAATCAGTAACGATCCTATTCATCATGAAAAAACAATTTATAAGGGCGCAGTTGACAAGCAACTTATCCCTATCTTTCGATCGCCAAATAACAAAAAGTCTTATGAGTAAGGCATTAAAATAAAAAAGAGATCGCCATACGATATTGACATATATAAATTCGGTTCCATTCAATGTTTAACGTTACTGCAATGAACTGTGCAGAAATAAATGTTAAAAAATGACCTATATTAAATGTATGAGTAGAACATATAGGCACATAAGCAATCCTATTACAAAGTGTCATTAGGTGTAACTGCTAATGTGGCCGGTCATTTGAGTCGTCAAGTGTGATTCCAAAAAGCGTTTCTGGTCATTTTCTTGGTTGAATTGGGCACCATTTGCAGCATGAGTTTCATTCGTAGTACGACGTGTTCAACATTTCAAGTTGGAATAGCATTGCAACAAGCGGTTGCAGCCGTTGCAAACTCCACATGCGCAGAACATGTTTTCGCCACACGCGCCATTTTCAAGCCAACGACCTCCACAAGGTTCACCAGGGCCCTGTACGTTAAAAACAAATTTTCAGCATATGCAATATTTGATTAAATATTGACGGCGGCCAGCGAATTAGAAAATACATTGTATCCGGGAAAACCTGTGTGTATAATTGCGAGGTACACATTTGGCAATAAAATATGATGCTGCGTCATCTAAGCTCTGTGCATGGACACAAACTAAACAAATTAAATTCTTCTTGCTCGTACATTAAAAGTCTAATAGAAGCAATTTGTGAATTATTCAGTCACACCTTCTCCATTGAGATGTTTATCCATCAGATCGTCAAAACGATATCCATGGAAGTTGAATATACTTTTATGGCGTACAATGTTTTGGCAACTTAGATACAAGAATACACACTATTCTTTATTAAATTAATTCAAATCACATTAAAATAATATGTAATATAATAATATTATTGATGTAAAATACATCAATGAATACTGTATGAAGATTATGACTAACCTTGCCGCAGACCTGTTGATGACACCAGTCGAGGACTACGCCATTGACGCAGGTTTGGTCGGACACTTCGCCGTTGTTGGAATTTCCAGAGCAAGATGGTGCTGAGTTTGCTGGCCTGATCAGTGCATCATATATTAGTAAATAAAATATTATAACTTTATTGGATTAAACCAATTTTGTTTAAACAAGAATTAATTTTACTAACTCTAAAGTACTAACTCATTAAACCTTTTACTGTAAATTTGATATACATCAAATGAATATGATATACATCAAATGAAAGGGATCTTACAAATTTGGACGTTGTTTTCACTCGAGACCAAGGAGGCTCTGGATGATCTCTCACACGTTTTTGATAAACCATCGCTACTTTTATCTAATACTGAAGACTGCAAAGCCCAATTGGGACCTGGACGTGTGTTGAAGATGAAATACAAGCAAAAATTCTGCGCAATGTTTGCTAGAATTAACGGACCAAACAGTATTTCAACTGTACATTAATTTACAGACATTGGTCATTGTTTAAAAAACGTGGTTTCTCACAATGTGTCATTGGCGATTACATTTTTCTTATGAAGTTTCAGCTTATTTTACCGAAGTAAGTTTAAATTAAATCATTTTTTATATATAACCTCATGACAGATATAATACTATTTGTAAATTATATTTCGGTAATTTTAATCTAGAAGCATCTTGAGTGCATTCAATACTCACTGGAGGAAGATAAGAAAGATAGTGGCAAACAAAAGGCCACATAGAATGGACCTCGTAGACTTGGTTGGTCGGATGTTGAATGTGGAAGATGCCATCTCGACAGACGCGTATTGTGCGAGTGCGTTCGTTAACACTGGTAAGGAAAAAGTGTCCATCGAAACCACTTAATGAAAAACGTTATGAACCACATATACTAATTTATAATGTCGTCGTATATATATATATACACTGAATAGTAAAATTATAGTAAATATACAATGAATAGCAATATTATTGTTAATATACACTGAATAGTAATATTATTGTAAATAGTCACTGACTACTAATATTTCGAAATTCAGGAATTCAGAGTCTCACTAATTCATCCCATAATAGCAAATTTTTCGATAAATCGCTTTCGCGAATACATTTTTTCTTTGTGAACGCTAGTCTAAACAATGGCGGTTAATTCTAAAACTCGTTATATATAAGGCCAATAACTGGCAATAGTTGTCTTTTCAGGCTGACTTTTTATATGGAAAGTGAATGATGAAATGATTTCTTTTGAGGCCTGAAATGAATTTGTTATCACATTCTATGTATAAATCATATTGTTAATTCTTCAATCAGTAATTTGCTTTGTGTAATACTTTCAATCTATTGTTCAGGATTAATTTTAGAAGTATGACGATTTTAGGTTATTTATTCGTATGACGGCGAATGACGCGTTGTACCTGGCCCTTAACAACCAAAACTTATCAAATATTGAATAACGAGAACCTAATTAAATTCCCGTAACATAACAAAACAACCTAGGCTTATTTGTTTGAATGCATAAAGCAAAATTAATTTCTCAAAAGCTAACATGTATCCGATGCTTATTATATTTTAAATGTAGGAAATATAAATAATATTCCATGCGCTAGCCGAGCAGAGAAACATGAATGCTGTCGTCGGTACATAGGAGGAGGTTGGCAACAAGGCTTGATTGCCTCGAGGCGAGTTACGGGAGCCTAGCAACAAGAGAACCTTGTAGGTATCGTAAGTGCAACAATTACGAAACCGTATTTCAGGATGAAGCAGTATTAGGTTGACCTGATTATTCATTTTACAATGGAAATAATTAGACTGCATTCCATGATGGCGTCGTCCAAAAATAAATAATATTGCGTCAATGACCTCCTACTTAGACAATAATATAATATTCAAGTTTGAAACAGTGATTAAAATTTAAAATATGTAATTTGCTACTAATGTTAGCATGAGCATTTCATGCTAATCAGCCTCTGATCGAATTCCGCTAAGGGCGAAAATTATGTCCATTATATGTGCTTCCGCAATATATCTTCCAAAGGATCGCATCAATTCACCAATCAACAAAATTTTAAATTTCATCGATTAAGAATTTAAATCAACCAAGTTAAAATAAATCGACACTAACGTCGTTTGCTTGAAATACGCAAGTAAATTAGTCTAAAACCTAAGTTACATGTGAATAAAGTCTGGTTGCACACCCAGAATTTTCCCTTCACTCGTTCTAGGTCAAAACATGGCCTGGAAAGTTAACAATTTTCTTGATTAAGTTGACAAGGCACCGAACTGAAATCGAGCCTTCAAGAGTCAACAAAATTTGTCGAAGCAATCGTGTAATATTTTGAGCAGCCGAGCTAATGAACTTCGAAGTTCGAAACATCGACGCACAGCCATTATGCGATCGCACAATCGCCCAACACTGAATTCCTGTTCATTAAAGCCAGCGTGGCTGGGAATGACCCACAAAGTTAGAAATCGAGGATTTTATGAACTCGGCGCAGTGTTGGAATTTTTTGTTGCTCGCGAATACGGTTTTTAATTAACGAAGTTTTGAATAGGATCAGGTTTGAACCAAAAGCCTGCGTGTGACACAAGAGCTCTGTCGCTGAAGAGTGGCGAGAAGTCAAATTAAAGAAAATTTTTTCCAAATTAAATATTCAATGAAGAAATTAACTGGCAATTTTATCGATAGGAAAATGTAAAAATTGAAAGGGAATATCATAATTAATAGTTTAATATTCACTCTAATTTTTCGCCACTCACGTTTTGTAAACTGGTATTTATGCATGGCTAACTAATTTCAAAATTTCAATAATGCAAATCGAACTTGTCATAGAAGCAAAAAAGGCAACTATATGAAAAATTTACAGGTCCTGGCGACCTAATTCTGGAATACTTGATGAAAATGTCGAGCATGATTATAGTGAAATTCTTGATAGAGAATATCGTCCTAGATATAATTTCTAATATTTTAATGATTGTCAAAATTTCCACCTTCTGAAAATTTAATTTGGAATATGTTTCAGCCTTCAGACTTTCAACACAGACGCATTCACATCTCTTTGATAATATAACTGCAGACTGCGACCAAAAGTTAGGCCTCAATCAGTAAGTAATTTCCCTAAGAAACTTGAAACTTTTTCAACGCTGACGTTCTTTAGAATTTCTGACTCTGATGCTATGGCGCTGCCCAATACTTGGCCAAGCAAGAACCCGTGAAATCAATCTCGTAGAAGTTGTCAGATGCCATAACTTCTACCCAAACTTTCAAGGTAAATTATTGGTATAAAGTTAAAAAGAATACAAGAACTTTGGCTCAAATTATAGCTATGAGATGCATAAAAACCTCTATATATGCCCGCATGAATCGCTGAAAGAAATACGATGCTTCAAGATTATTGCGTAGGTTAGATGACCGTAATTTGCTTAACTTTCAAGGAAAGTTTTTTAAGTTTTAAGCCTTTAGTGAGAGGCGGATCACAGTTACATGCAACAACCTGGTTTTAGAGATGACTTATAAAACTCGCACGATTTGCGATGATTCTTGGAAAAACCATTAACAATCATATTTTGCAAGACAATGTATAGGATTTTTCCGGGGCTCATTTTAAAAATTATTTTAAGTAATTTCATGATCTAATGAGACACTGAGATGATTCAAAAACAGTGTCTATAGAGTCCGCTGAATGGATCACATATGTATGAAAAATTGTTATTTATATAAAAAATTAAAATGGTGCCACCTATGCTTCGAACGATTTCAATCTAGATTTAGTGAATTTTGTGCAACCGCGCCTAGACAAAAACATTTAAAATTATTAATTGCTCAATTCCTACCACAATGAAATAGAACGACTCAATCAAAAGTGTTTCAAAACAATTCTCAGGCAGTGTGGGCCGTGCAAATATAGCGAGAGACTGGAAAGGCGGAAAGTATGGGTCTAAAAATTAGCACCGTTTCGGTGTCGTGTCATATAGCATCAGCAGGGCTGATCGAACATCACCTTGCAGCTCACAGCGCGTTGATGCATGTTACTGACTTGAATATTGGGAAATATCAAATTAACTATCTTATGCATTAGTAATTTTATTTCATCATCATAGGGAGGTTCATGCGAAATAAATTATGAATGGGTTCATATAGACAGTATTATGTTAAATCAATTTGCAGTTTATCTTTCCACGGCTGGAATGCATAATGCAGATGATTTTGAGTCAATTCTAAGGAATCTGTTGAAAATTTGAAAATAAATACCGAAATTAGCATCCAGTTTTTAATTATATTGTTGATAGGTATTTGATGATTGGAAATATACACAAACTTAATTCTCCAGTAGAAGTCAATCGGGAAGGCCTTTACTTTTTCGGACTTGTTGGTATGATTGATGAATGATGAAGAATTCCTACAAAAATAATCACCTATCATAAATTATTTAGAACAAAATTTTTGTGCCTCGTGCCACGATTTCAAATTTCACTTGCATCTTGATGGTTATTGTATTTTAAGTTGGTACTCATCTTAAGTAGCGTGCTTTCATTTTCAGTGCACGAACTAATTTTCATCAACTGATGAATGTTCCAAAATGTCACTGACATTGGCAAATAGCTCGTTGGCTTGTCTTCGATGTCGTACAAACCAAAAAAAATGGATTAAGATTAAACAGAATTGATTTTCGCCATCGAGTCTGTCAACAAAAATATTCATCAACAATCAGCAGATTCAAATTCTTTCATAACAACATATTGAAGAGCGTACAATTTGTCGTAAAAAGGTGCGTTTTTTCACCATTCACAATATCAATCATATGAGCTCTCTATACGCATGCAGAATTCAAGTTATTAATCACCAAATTGAATATGTACCAAATATTTGAATACAGTCAACTTACCTTAAGAAATTGCAGTGAAGTCGTTGGTGGAATTGATGAAACGATGAGGATCTCGAAGCGATTAGAATTATTATTGTAAATAGAAGTGACTAGTTTATAAGTTGGCGGCTCGTAATTTTAATGATTGCTTGATTGTATTGAGTATAAATCGAGTGTCAAGTGTGTGAATGTGCCGTTAGGGATTTCCAAATCAAAGTATTGGAATTAAGTGCACACTGGAGCAGTGATTTTTATGAAGCACTTCACCCTGTAGCGGTGTGGACTAAACCGAGTTGTATTAGGCACAACGGTCGGCGGCTTGTTGTCGACGAGCAGCCGTGCGCGCTTGCTTATATGCGGTGTGCGCGCGCCGACTCTCTGCCCTCGAGCGCTCTGTTCCTAGGCAACCGCAAGGGGGCGGGCATATCTCCATCCATTTGTGTTTATAATAATCCTACCTGTTATAAATATTGCATAGAGCAAATTCATGACTAAATGTAACAAAATTTTGGGAATTAAATTATTTTTTAGACTATTTTTCGAATAAAATACAAAATTCAGCGAGGAAGAGCTGATAAACGTTGAGAATATCGTTTTCAACGTAACATCAGCTGCAGGATATCAACCGAGAGCGCGATGAGAGGAGTATTCTGTAGGTGAAGGTTGTAGAAGGACACGGTGTGCTTGTTGCTGAGGGAGCTTCGACAGACGAACACGTAACTTATTCATTGTAAACCTTATTGAAATTTCAGTGTTCCTAGAAACAGATCATGGTACCTATGAATATTATATTGAATAGTGTTTGATGGTTCCACTTAGATGATTGTGATACTTATTAAGGTTAAGTAGATTATCTTGAAAGATATTTATGTAAATAAGCACGGTTTCTTGCATCATGAAATTTTTGCTTTAAGAATTTTATCAATCTCGAAATCTATAGGCCGGGAAAAGACAATCTCGAAGTTTAGTAAAATTAAAAGTTCATGCGAGGAATATAACGAAGTGTATCATTGTTATATGTATGAATATGTATAAAGTTACCTTTGAGGACTGCTTTATCTGTGACCTCTTGATTATATAAAATCAAACTTCTACTAACGCAAGGCTATAAAGAACGCGATCACAGTTTGTGAGAGCTAATCGTATACCGAAATTCATGCATGGATGGTTAAAATTTACGATCGGTCTATAATAGGGAAATTTTTCAAGCCGTTAAGCGAATACTATTTATTACGATTTTCCTGTGAAAAGCTTATGATTAAATAGATTTTTCATTAGCGAAAAAATTAATTCCAGACGTCAAACAATTTAAATGACATCAGCGCTTTTTGATGCCTGCCCAGAGGTTTTAATGGTGCATTGCTACTTCGTATTTTCATTCATTATATAATGCCTATTATTTCGAAGGACGATCAATAACTCAATATTATTGATAAAAAATTATGAGCCATTTGAGGACGATCATTATTTTTCATTGCATATGGCAAGCTTTCGTGATTGGTTTCACATGCTAATGTTCGCATGTACATAATTGAGTACAGAAACCGTTAAAAAAACGGTAATGTTTGTTCATGTTTCTTTTTACAGTACTACGGCATAATTTTGATCCCAAAGACACTTTTTTATTAGAAAGTTAAAAAAGTTTCTCGAAAATGAACTATTATGGAATTCCAGTAGGACAGAAATATTACATATTATTTTGGAGTTCTCTATATCATATAGCAGTAATTTTAACAAGTGCTGAACTTACTTTGGCCACATCAATAATGTTAACAAATGCTCAACTTCCTTCGGCCACATCAATAATGTTAACAAATGTTGAGCTCGCATCAGATAGCAAGCTAAGAACGAAGTCCGATTCAAAGACTAATCTCCGAAAAACGCAGTTGTACAAGCTTATGAAAGAAAAAGAGGCACTTGAATATTTTCATGTTTTTATTGGAAATAGAATCAAATCGAGGTAAAAGATGAATGAGCAAACGAGTTAAAGGATCAAAAGGCAGTCGCGTGATTGACGTTCGTTTAATTTTTCTGCGGGATATTTTCGCGTACGTTTCCGAAGTCATGCATAAATGATTATTATATTTTTGCAACTTTCAACTCTGCTCATTTCATCATAGTTGCATTTTTAACACTTTATAAAATGCAATGCACTTTTAACACTTCTAATACAACACCCACTGACGTAAGTGAACACGTGCCAAGAAGCTGATCATATCAATCAGGTCTTATTCAGAGGGAAAAACTTATCCTGCTGTAAGAATTCACAGAAAGAAACTGAAGAACACAAAGCTTCTTCTTGAGTGCCAGTCAAAGGCCCTCAGAATAGCTCGGGCACATATGGCCTCGGACTCCAGGTCTATTAATTCAACGCCGGATGTCGGGGATTTTCATTAGTATCACTAGAATTTAGTTTGCTTAGTCATTGACATGATGAAATAAACTTCAGGTAATATCACAACTAAACCTAAATATAACAACCTTATAAGTAATAAAAATTTATGGGGCAATATCAAAAATAATAATCACAATAAGGTGTTAAAAAAGCAACGAAAATATATTTATTTGTAAAATTATGTCCGAACGGTTATCTCCACATCACACCACATCGAATTACCATGGATTCTACTGGAAACCAAAACCAAAAATATTCATACAAATCACGTTACGTCTTGTTGTGATTATTTATATTTATCATATTATAACACATATTATAATTATATTTAATTGGTTGTGATTACTTTATATTTATAACTCGTGCCAAAAATTGCATGTGAAATTTATTTCATGAGTATTATACGATTTGTGCATATGTGTTTATGAATCCTCGCTTTCATTATGCTACATTTATGGCCATATGTAATACATTATGCAACATTTATGGCCATATTTATTATATTATACAATTACTTATGGTCATATTTATGGCGTTTTGCCCTATGTTATGAGCATTTTCAATAACGGCGAATTTTTACTGCTTGTAAATTTCCACCAATATCATACGCCTCAAACTATATCACTTCATAATAATTTGTAATTGTTAAAACAATTTTTTTACGTTTCATTTAGTGTATTTCTTCAATCTAACCTCGACGCTACGCATTGATGTTGAAATCAGCGGATTCAGTTTTAAATCGTGATATTCATCTCTATTCTTATTTGAATGTGGACTTGTAAAATGAACATTACACAGATGTGCACACATGTGTGTAATATTCGTGTAAAACATTCTGTGTAAACATGCACAATTCGTTATCGTGACCCGGACGCTCGCATACAATCGGCCATAGAGGGAATCTTTCACGTGGTCCCTGCGTGATGAGGTCGACCAGATTGTTCTAGAGGCGAGCTGCAGCTGTTGCTGGTTGAAGGTGTCGGTTTACCTCCTCGATTGAACTGCATGCTGTTTTCTGATGTACGTACGTATGTCTGTACTGCATGACCTTGCTTTGTTTTGGAAGTCATTGCAAAATTGAACTCTCAACTGCCATAACTTAATTTACACGTAATCACTAAATAATGAAGTGTTTATCTCTAAAATGTCTAAGAAACTAATTTTTTTTATCTCCGAAATCTCACTCCCACCATAGGTTTTTTCAGCTTGCAGCCTAAGATATCATTCATTTTATTAAGTCATAAAATACAAAATGTAATCATAAACCTTATTCATACTAACATCTAATATAATTAAATTAGTAAAAAAACTGATGAGATTAACTTTTTGAATGCTGCTTTTACAAAATTATTTACAAATAATTATCACAGAAGATGATCAGAAATCTTCTCTTTCAAAATTTACAATCAAATCTAATTTATATAAAATCCTCTCGTCCTAAGAAACAAAATATTAATTGTGATTTATTTACACTTGTGAGAATATTGAATATCTTGAGTCAAGCAAACGGCTTGATGTGATGTAGGCGAAATGTGATGATGTAAACGGCTTGATGTGAAAGATGTATCCGATATGTGATGATTTGAACGGCTTGATGTGAAAGATGTATACGATATGTGATGATGTGTACAGTTTGATGTGAAAAATTTATGCGATACATGATGAAGTGAACGGCTTGATGATGACACGGATGGGGGGTCATTGGGTACAGATAAACGGGCGACTCTGTCCTTTCTGTAGGCAGAGGTTCCTCACATTCGTACCTCACATTTATACCCCTCATTTATACCCCACATTCGTCCCTCACATTCATACTTCGCATTCGTACCTCACATTCTTAATTCACATTCGTACCTCACATTCGTAATTCACATTCGTAATTCACATTCGTACCTCGCATTCGTACCTCACATTCGTACCTCACATTTTTACCTCACATTCGTGCCTCACATTCGTACCTCACATTCGTATTCGAAAATAATGAATATTGAATCTAAATAAGACGACTGTGAATTTCCGCTCTAAGTAATTGACCGCCACTGATTCAACGATTGAGGAAAATAAGGCAGGATTTGCTACTAGAAACTTGAACAAGATTTATTTAAGTTCGCAGGATAGCTTCATGGCTGGCTTTGTTATCCATGGCTGGCCACAAACATCACATCTGCAGGTAGACAAAACCAAAGTTGAAAAATTGGTTGAATAAAGTAGACAGCATAACAAATCTCAGTGATTAACAAAAACCGGTAAAATTCACAATTTATTAACGGTCCAGTCCTAAAGGATCATCCAATTTTGAGAAATTGGCTGGGAGCGAGGTAAGCAGGTTCAGGCCAAGAATCAAGCCTCACCTCTTACGTCTCCGGAGCTTCAAGGAGTGTAGCTTCCGGGAGTGTAGCACCACCGTGACCACAGCTGCTGAGCAGGAGAACGTCTGGTGTGCCTTCTGAGAACTGCTAGGTAAACACAGGTGAAGCGGGAGCACCGTGCGGTTAGAGTGGTGTCGGAAATCTGAATATTCTTGCTGCAATTATTCTTCTTTGGGTTCGGCTTGACAACGGCGGATTATTCGGGCGAATTATTTCGGGTTCGGAAAAGCGGATTATTGTGACTTATAAATTTTAAACTGAATTCCACCAGATTTTTGTACAATTCGTACCTCCCATTCGTACCTCACATTCGTACATCACATTCGTGCCGCACATTCGTACCTCACATTAGTACCTCTCATTCGTACCTCACATTCGTACCTCACATTTATAGGAGTTGTTTAGTTCCTGACAGCCGTGTTGGCGACCAGGCAGCGAAAACGCTCTCGTGCAACAGACTAAGGGGAAAAACAGTAGAAATGTCTACTATTGACAGTAAGGGAATAATCATGAATATAAAACAATCCGATGAGATAGAATAGGAAATGATGAAGATTGTATAAATGTATTTCGACAACCGTTGAGGCGAGGGTGGAAGTGCGTGATGAGGCACTGAACGAGAAGAAATTAAAATGGATGAACAGTAAGAACCGATGATCTGTTTATGACTTGAGATTTGTTAACTAAATCAAGCATGCCAGTAATTAATTACGGGACAGTACAAAAAATTAAACAAATTTGTGAGAACATCAACGCGAAATATTAAGGCTTTTGGAAAACAGCAAAAGTAGAGGATGAGGAATACTTAATTGGAGCATACAGAGAATACTTCATTGATAGAACCCTAGTATATGTTTAGAATCCTTTTATAAAATCCTCATTTTTTGACTGAATACTTCCTTAGTGCTAAAACGAACGCATGGATGTCGGCACTCTCTATTCGTAGATATGCACGCTTCGGTCGCTAGGCACGCAGTGTGCATTACGCACCCGGGCGCTGCGACACACAATCAGCTCCACTACTACACATTACTGACGTGTTATCGGTGGCCACCGAATATCATCCTATCTGCCACCGATGATGCACCTATAATTTCAGAATAAAGTCATGGCATCCCACTACGGCTCCGGCACCGAGTAATGTGATACTCGTGCAAATGGAGAGTTTTCAGCCTTTCGGTGCGACGTCTGCCGGTGAATTTTCAAGAAATGCAAGCGAAGTTTTGTAGTCGGGCAACCATAGAAGTTATCAACTTGGTTATTGCGGACCAAACTTCAGAGATCAATCCATGTTGCCTCGCTACTATTTATTCCCACAAAATGATAACCATTTAGATAGCACTTGCGGCCATTGCTGTGGTTATATAAATTCAGTCCTAAAAAACTCTTGATATCTGTAGTCCCCTTTAAACATTTTTTACTACATTACATTTGAAAATTAATGCTTCCCCATTTTGCTTGCATTTCTTTTCTAGATTGCATTCTGGCTGGAACCCAAAAATTAAACTGCAGCTCTCCATATTTAATAATTTTTTGCTTCGTTTTACCTAAATTTAGGCGGAGCCATTCAAAACCAACCAACTAATTTCGAAAAAGAGCCCTGGCCTAACCCTTATCAGCACCCAATTAAGCTCACGCTGTATCAAGCTTATCTCCAGTCGCAGTGAGGCGGCCTCAGTACGCGACTTGCTGGTACAGTAATTATACGTTGGATTTCAATTTCTTTTTTTTTTAATGCGAAGCATTGAGATAACTGCTTGATGAAACAAAATTACATTGATGGACGTTTCATGATTCGTCTTTCCTTTATCCAATTATTTCTTTTTACAACACTTCTCTTTAACTTCACTTCTTGTTGTTTGTTTGTCTGCTACAAATCTTATAATCAATGTTTAACCCACTTCTACCTCTCCAATTGATCTGAAATTTTGCACACTTGCGTAAAGTCTGAGACAATGCATGAATCATTTGACAGAATAAATAATTTTGAAAATTTAAAAAATTTCATTTTTGATATTAAGAAAAATGAAAAAAAAATAATTTTGTCTGCTCCATAACTTATAATCGATATTTAACACACTTCTACCTGTCCGATCGATCTGAAATTTTGCATATTTGCGTAAAGTCGGAGACAATGCATTTATAAACTGACAGAATAAATAATTTTCAACAATTTGATTTTTTTTATTTAAAAATAAAATTAAAAAAATTAATTTTCCCGATATTTCATAATAAAATTAGAACTTCCGTGTACATGTGTAACACCGGAGACACTGGATTCTTAAGAAGTGTTGTCTTTAAAAGTAATTTTTAAACGCATATTATTATTGTTGCATCTGATTTTTTATTCAACGTAGACCACAAAAAGGACTACAGCTTTAAATAAACTGAACGCTCACCTCATCTCTGAACATTATAGAATTATCTTCCAAGTGCTCAATTATTACCACCGAAGAACAACGTTATAATATATTTCTGCAAAATTAGTAATCAATCAGTATTTTATCAAATTATTTCACATTTTAAATTTGTTTCCGCTTATCATAGATATCCCAACGACAACAATATTCCTTCCTGAAACCGAGCGGCCGTAGCGCTAGGAATCTACATTAATTCAAGTCCACGCTCTCTGTCTCCCCACCGCAGTATAAAATAAGGCATTTCTGGCCAGCAAATTTACGCTAGCAATTTGTGCCGAGTTATTGCAGTATAATTTTCTGGTCGGAGCAAAGCTTCGAATAATTGCAGTCCTTTAAGGTAATTTTGTTTGTCCTTGCCTGCTTAGTAATGGACTCTAATTTCGAAGATTCCATATTAAGCTCGTCTCCTCGTTTAATCAAAGTCATGAATTTTCATGTTGATTTCAATAACTTGCCTTCTGCATCGAGAAGGTAATAGGACGATACACTCTTTGCCTTTAGCATAATAATCGTGACTGTAATAAGGCATTAAACTGTTTAACTTTTTACGGGTAAACGAATTTAAATTGTAGCCTCAGCATTCAGAAACAAAATTGAAAAGAAACGAGAAAATTTGAGAACCAATTAAAGGATTTTCTGTAAATAAAATAGCTGGATTCGGTGTTGCATCTGATTAATCAGTTCGACAAAATTTTGTGAGCGAGTGACACTTCTCTCCCTGTTCTTTAATACTCAGGGGAAGAACGCAATAAAATTTTGATGTTTAACCATGTCGTTTCATTCTCCTGTCGCATTTTCAACGTAGTCGTTGAGGTACACAATGCATGTTTATAATTTAAATCTACAACGACGGTTTAAAAAAATTTAAAGCTCGCACTGAGATTCGTGTCGCTTCGAGTCAGCCTCCGCATTCCAAAGGGATTTGAATCTTATTTTGAGCGCGGATGCTTCGATTTTGCTCACTGCACTGCAACGCTAAAAATTTTACGAGCTTCCGAAAGCAATATTCATGACTGGGGTGTCGAATAAGACTCCCTGCACAGTTCCCTGCGAAAATCTTGAGCTAGGGTCTGGAGCTGTTCTGAACGTCGCTGGTGTGTCAGCGCAACATCAAAAAGAGGAATCTATGGGAACACAAAGTCCCCAGCAATGGGCTGAGTGCACATCGCAAACATCTGGTCGTTTAGGCAGGCTTCAATATTCACTATGTTGGCCGAACAATGTTCTAGAATTCCTTTAGGGATAAATGCACCGCCTCTTCAGCTACGCGTCCTTTGCACGCCTGACGTGTTATTATCCTACGGTAAAAGTGAAGCCCCAAATCAATCTCGGCAAATAGGAGAATTTTCTTACTCAAACATGCAGCTGCCTCAGGCTCTTATAGAGGTACAGTGCCTGCATTGTATTACATCGTTTCCGTTTTAAGTATATTTAATATATTCATATTACCCGATAAAAATTCAAACATCACAGTGAATACCAAACATTTGACTACGTGAGGAAATTCGGTGCGTGACTACACCCAATCATAAAATGATTGCAGATAATTACATAATTGCCCTTGTTTTTATGATTCGGCGTTAAATAATTCCGTAGCCGAGTTGATGCAATCTGCAAGCCAGAGTTATTTGGGGTTATTCATTTATTCGGAAAGAACATAAAACTTGTCACTAGTTGATTCAATTGTTCTTTTGAAATTTTTGTTTATCTGTGTAAATATTTCTGCCTCCGCGTGTTTCACCATTAATGTCCGTGTTTCATAACATCCGCTCTCAGTTATGGTTTGATTTTTGCAAATCGTTCTGCCGGACAGAGAGAATTTATTGTATTCCCGAACCTCAACTCTGGCCTCATGATAAGCGGTACTGTGAACTGTGCGTTGAAGCCGATACCAACATTCAAAATTATGCGGACAATTATTATGTGCCAAAATAATATTGGATACTTATTATAATGTAATTATGAATTTAATTACTTATTAGCTTAGTATAATGTAATTAAAATAATATGTACTTATTATAATACATGAATATAGAGTACTTCAATGTATTCGCACTCAGCACGACTGGTTATAGTGTCCTTACCCTAGCACTGAAACTTTTCTGCACTTTTCACCATTTCAACTTTGGCCCTGAAAAAGAAGAGCAGTTATTACGAGATCAATCAAACGACAAATTCTAGTTTTATAGAAACTTGCAGAAAATGCAATAAAAATCATTCATTCAACTTCCTCGTACGACGTTATATAATGAAATAAAATAATTTATTATTTCTTTATATGAATTGATTGGAACATGTTCAGCCTTCGTGCAAATTCCTGTTTGCTAATTAAAGAAAAAAGGACATCACATTTTTTGACGACGAAGAAAATTCAATTTATCGTAATATCACATCGCAATATTGTAAATTTATTGATCCCTGATTATAGGACCATTGATGTATCAAAGTTCCCACGGATTGTTCACTAGAACACAGTATTTCTTCACTCTGTTAACGGCAGGAAACAAGTTCGATCACCATTTGTCTACCATCAGCGAAATGCCAAGCTGAGCAGCTATACAGACGGAAATATTCAGTATCAATGGGATACCTTCAGACGCAGGGTCGATCGAGCGTCGTTCGACTTCATTGCATATTCAATGGACTATCTCTGAGCAAAAGCTGTAGGAGCGCTAGCGATACAGTCCTTCGCACCCGATTTTCTCTGCATCGTTGTTCCTGCTTTCAGTGATACA